TCGTCAAAAAAATTTCGGTCAGTGTACCATTTTAGGGGTCAAAAAAATTTTCCGGACAGCCTAAATTTTTCGGAACATAAACCAAATTTTCCAAAAAACACAAAATTGGCCACAAAATTTACTTAATTTTAGACAAATTTGACAGAATTTGTCCCATTTATTTTATTGCAAACCAAAATTGCCCGACTGTTGATCGAATATTGCCCGACTGCCCAACAAACTGGGGGGGCTACAGCCCCCTCCCCGCCCCTACCGCCCCCCGCCCGGTACGCCTATGTGTGTAATGTTTGAGGTTCAAGTTCTAGAGAAGTTATTTTGGGATTCGAAAATGGTTGAATTTTAATAGTAGCCTATGTCGGAGATGTCGGAGATCACCACACAGGTACTTATAATAACAGATTTCCACCACTGTTTGGGATCAGAGACTTTAAGAGGGCCTCGCAGTAAAATCCACTCACTGGTTTGGGGAAGGAGAAATTGATTTAGCTCATATTTTGCATATGAACTAGACGGTCAATATTAATCGAGCTTCTTTCAGAATGTTTCAACTTTCTGTTTCATAGGAGTTATAGCCATGTTAAAATTTGACCTTGCGAGAATATTATCAGACCGGAAATGAAGGGAAATTTTACAAGAATTCATCTGATTTTTTAAAAACGTTGTGATACGTTTATCCCCTTCAGTTACTGTTCACATGCAAGATTAACAGTAATACTCTCGTTTACATTGAGATTGAACAACTTTATTTGCTTAATACGATTTTTTTTAAAGTTTTACGAAACTAAGTTTTCAAGATGGCGACGAGCGGCTGAAAATTGCTCATATTTTACGTAAAATAGCTCAAAAGTGGCACCTATCTGAAGTTCAAAAGGCATGTAATTTGAAAGTACACCTACTAAAGTTAAGTAATCAGGAATAAAACTCGTCTGCAAGCCATTTTCTGAAAATTGGGTCTATTTTTAGCTGTTTGTTGACATTCGCGTGTTCGCTGATCTGCGACACTAGTAATTGAAGAGTTAAAATAAGCTGATTTATTACCCATGAGTAAACTTTTTTAGCTTGTTCAAAAGAATATATACAATTTTGTGAAAATATAATTACAATATATACAAGCGATCGTGTACAGAACATTCTTGAATTCGAATTGCTTTACATTTGTACTTAACTTACACTTGCACTAATTATACACTTTCAATATACACATACAGTAGTACAGTTACAACGAGTAGTACAGTGTCTACGACCCTGATATCTTTTAATGTTATTAAATAATATATTGGTAATATAATAAGAACTTCGTCAATACATTGACACAATACCATAATCTCCTGATTATGACCTTGATCTGCCGCTCCCACGGCGGGAGGTGCATGTCTGAACGAACAATGTGAATAGAAAACGTACATAAGTGTCTCTGTGCGATGTTTAGGTCATGAAATAGTGCTACAGGTAATATCGGTTTAATGCACTTTGCAGAAACTCCCATGATTTTGATGTCGCTCAATATGATAATCAGAATCCTGTTTAGCCGAAGGGTTGCTATTTTTATGAAAATGCGTGTACTGACCCAAGTCTAGCTCGATTAGACAAATTTGGGTAACGTTTGTTTATACCCAATTCACAAATTTATATAACACACATGCCTAGTTACTATGGTTCTAGATTACAAAAGCATAAAATAGAACAAAGGTAACTAATTCTTATTGTTATATAGTCTTATAACTCTTATTGTTAGTTAGTGTCAAAGTTCAATTTTTCTATTTGCCGATTGTCAAAACCGTGTCACGTGCCGGTCCACAAAACCTCATGTTCGGCAACCGGTTAACCTGAAGTTCAGGCCCTAATTCAAATTAGGGCCTGAACTTCAGGTTAGCAACCGGTCCGCAATGAAACATTTATTGACCAGTCAATAATAAAATGGGTGCAATACGCATGCGTGTCAACCGCGAAGTTTCAAAGTTCATTTTTTAAACTTTTTATTTACGGCGTTCCATTTATCCAGTTTTGGTTTCAAATTAAGTTCACTCCAATAATCGGTGAATTATTCATACTTTAACACTTATATACTATCTATAAGTGGCTCTGGTCCACAAAACACACTGTTTCCCTCGATCTCAGTAAATATAAAGTGATAATACATAAGTTTAATGTTTAGTTACTTTTGTTCTATTCAGTCTATGCTTCTGTAAACTAGAATAATAGTAACTAGGCATGTGAGTTATATCCTTTGCATTTACTATACGAGTAAATTCTTAAACACGTCCGAAATTATCATTATGATAAATTCGCAGCACATTTTGAATTTATCATAATAATAAATTCGCGGCACTAACCCGTAATCCCCTTATCCTAACCAGTAATCCTTAACTCCTAACCCTAACTTTTTTAACCGTTTTAAATTTTTTTAACTTTTTTAAAAATCTAACTTTTTAAACTTTTTTGCTTTTTAAAACTCTTTTAAAACTTTTTTAAAAACTATTTTTTTGAAAATCTCTGTCTCTTACTGCAGTATTTCTGTTATTGTAGCGGTTAACAAATTATAGGGAAATACGACGACATAAGTTAAATTTCAAAACTTTTATGTGTTTATATGCAGTGAATCAAACGAAAAATGCATCCTTTGTTACAATTATTTAAAATATTACAAAAATAAAAAAACAACTAAATTTTATCGCCATATTTCTCCATAATTCGGCAACCGCTACAATAATGCCAAAGTCAAAACAAAATAGTAAATGACAACAGACTACAAAAGCAGAAGTGGGAAGGTTGTAGTATTTTGACTGCAATTATGTACAAAAATATGTTGCATCCATGCTGCAAGAATTAATGTCCGACCTTTCCGGCAAAATTTCCATTTGCAGGGACAGAAAAAGATTACGAGACGAGTTGAATAAAAAAGTTAAAGCACCGAACACTTTTTATATACAGCCAGAGATACTGACAGCTTTGGAATTTGCTACAACCACAGAAAGTACTGCCAGATTATACCTTAAAAAGATATTTAACAGTTGTGAAATTATTCATGCGTATAAGCCAAGAATGGTTAAGGTTGTATTTTTAATGTTTTTATGTTGTGAATTAGAACCTGTATAAGAAACCAGCTTATTTAACTTTTTAATTATTACTAGTGTCGCTGATCAGCGAACACGCGAATGTAAACAAACTGCTAAAAATAGACCCAATTTGGAGATTTATAACTTTTCAGAAAATTGCTTGCAGACGAGTTTTATTCCTGATTACTTAACTTTAGTAGGTATACTTTCAAATTACATGCCTTTTGAACTTCAGATAGGTGCCACTTTTGAGCTATTTTAAGTAAAATATGAGCAATTTTCAGCCTCTCGTCGCCATCTTGAAAACATAGTTTCGTAAAACTATAAAAAAAAATCGTATTAAGCAAATAAGGTTGTTAAATCTCCATGTAAACGAGAGTATTAGTGTTAATCTTGCATGTGAATAGCAACTGGAGGGGATAAACGCATCACAACATTTTTAAAAAATCAGATGAATTCGTGTAAAATTCTCCTTCATTTCCGGTCTGAAAATATTCTCGCAAGGTCAAATTTTAACATGGCTATAACTCCTATAAAACAGAAAGTTGAAACTTTCTGAAAGAAGTTCGATTAATATTGACCAAAGTCTAGTTCATATGCAAAATATGAGCTAAATCTATTTTCCCTTCCCCAAACAGTGGGTGGATTTTACTGAGAGGCCCTCTTAAGCTTTATTACGAAAATAAACGAGACTTGATATAAACATAAAATGATACAAAAAATCGGCAAAGAAGTATCGCACTTTCACGCCAAAAATTTAAATACAAAACATCACGCTTGACACTTCGATATATGGAGTCATAGACCTCTGTTATATTAAGGGGCGGTTCGGTGCGCTCGATGTATAACTGGAGTATCATGTAAATCCAGACTGAATATAACTGTAAATTTTATTCTCGGCCCGCATTACACGCAAATAAAACGGAGAAAAGATATAGATTAAAGCAAGTGTACCACATAATATTTCATATTCTCAAAAAAATTCGCTGGTTACATTTAATAATGTCATAAGAATGTACTTGGCATGTCTATCACGCCACGTACAGCAAAAAATAAATCTTCAGGCTCACGGACGCTCATATATGAATAATGACACTATTAGTACGGATTTGTATATGAACTCCACATACACGCAGAAATAGCTGAGCACCCAAATATATACAGATTTAATAGATTTTATATACCGCATAAAAAATGCTGGCATGCAATATACTATTATTCGGTCGAAAGGTGTGTATATTCAATAGGTGTGTAAAATTGGGAAAGGTGTGTACATTCAAAAGATGTGTAAAATTGGGAAAGGCGTGTATATTCAAAAGGTGTGTAAAATTGAGAAAGGTGTGTATATCCAAAAGATGTGTAAAATTGGGAAAGGTGTGCAGGGGTGAAAGGTGTGTAATCAGCACAGGTGTGTTTTTTGCGTAAAGGTGTGTAAAATAACACATTTTAATAAGTGCAAGTTGTGTAACACAAATTAAGGTGTGGAAGTTTACACACCCAATGGTGCGTAATCGTACACACCTAATGTGTGTAATTTTGTATGCAAGGTGTGTATAATTACACACCTTGGTTAGTTGGTTTCCATATTGCAAAAGATGTGTAATTATACACCCCTTTTTTTCGAAAAGGTGTGTATAATTTATACACACTTTGGTATATAAAATTACATACTAATTTTTAGAGTGTGATGTTTGCATGATTGTAGTCCTAGGTTATATTTAAGCTGAACAAAGTTGTGTAATTTTGAACACCTTCCAAGGTGTGTATTTGCAAACTGTGTAACAAGCGAAAAGGTGTGTTATTTTGCACACCTTGCAAAGTGTGTAAAAAAGCACGCGTTAAAGTGTGTAATTTGTTCGCCTGAGATTCAGGGAAAAATACACACCTTAATTAAGGTGTGTAAAAATACACATCTTTTGAAAAACACGCCTTAAGGCAATTCCGCAGTAATTGTTCCCAAAATGAGAATGTGCTGAAACTTCCAATAGGCATGGAGTTTATGATATACTTAAAGTAAAATCACACAAAAAAGTCGGGGTAACCGAATTCGTTAAGAAGATATGACAATCACAATATACCACCTTTACCCCTAATATGGCGCCATCTTGACGCTCATTACAAGTAACAGCAAAATGACAACAGCCCGATATTTATTGACGTTTTTAGCGCGGATTTTGCTTTAGTAAGCCTATCTTGTAATTAGTTTTGAAAAAATATTTTGTTTTGAGCAAAATGAAACTACTAACGTGTATAATTCTGATCCACAAATGTCTTTTCCACATTTCTTTACATATCTTTCTTTGAGAACATGCATTAATAAAGGATTTTTTTCAAGATCCAGATATGATTTTTCGTTTAGTTTCGGATTTGAAATGTAAAATGCATTAAAGAAATAAATTATCAGTTAAAAAACGGGGTCACCGATCTTTTTAGGGAATTGTGGCATTAAAACGTGAAAGACAAGTAAATAAATATACTACAGACACAGGCACCCTAGATAAACTTTTGTATGCCTTTTTTGAAAACATTGATTTTAACGTAATTCTTTGCACGAATGTAACCAAATATGTTTTGAAGTAAGAGAGTGTTCATTATTTATACCTGGGTTTGGTACCGAAGAGAAACTAATCGAAAAGAGAAAAAAACAACCACCCACCCTTTCGGTCAACCATTTTTTCCCCTACCCAACTATTGCATGACTTGGATTTTTATTTTACCCAACCCTATTTCAAAATTATGCAAGTATTTTACATATATATATACATATATATTATTATACAAGCTAGGCCACTAAAGTATAAACAGTACTGTGCATATTTGGTGAACTAACTGAATGTCAAATGTAATCATTTGTACTTTCACAAGGAGGGTGGGGAGTTGGAGTTTAGTTTTCTATGTGGGGAATGAATGGATTTTTCCTGGAATGACCCATTTTGTTAACTAAAGGATTTTCATATTTTGTTCAATTGAAGGTTTGTATTGAAAATAATTTACCCATAGGCTTTGTTCCAAAAATATTTACCCAACCCTTCATACCCCAGCAAAATGGCTTACCCAACCCATTTCTCTTCGGTACCATGCAACCCCGCGTATAAATAATGAACACTCCCTAACATAAAATTGTCATAAAAAGATTTTTTAAACGGTATGTATATATAATGGATGAAATTATAAGTTATAAGATCTGCGCAGTAAAGGTGCGCAATGCAAAACTGCGGAATTACCTTAAGGTGTGCGATTTTGGCGACAAGCAAAAAAAACACAAAAAACACACCTTAAGGCGTGTTTTTTTTACATACCTTTATCTTGCAAATACACACCTTAAGGTGTGCAAAAATACGCACCTTGTCCGGAAAATATACCGCACCTTAACGTGTGTAAAAAATACGCCTTAAGGTGTGCGAATTTGGCGACAGCTAGAAGGTGTGTCCAAAATACACACCTTATTTTTTAGAGTGTATATATACACACGCATATTTATTTTATATGTAAGGCATTATCGGTATTTGCGTAGGGCGTTGTGAAAACCCGGAATGCCGGAATATCACGAAACATCACGGAATATGGTAGAATATCACGGAATATACCGGAATATCACGGAATATGGCGGAATATCACGACATTTTCCAGGAATATACCGGAACATCACGATATTTTCGATGGTAGCCATGCGACTGCAGTTTATAAACATGGACCTCTGACAACACATTTTATTACAAAAGTGATGGATCTTTCCCATTTTGACGGTAAGTAACAAACAATAACTCTATACTGGAAGTTTTATATGTTGTTTATATCATCATTACTTGTGTTCACCAAAAAATTTGATTAATATAATTCCTCCTGAGTTACAGCGTTTTGAAGTCGAAAAATAAAAGTGCTAACGTCAGCGTCAGCATTATTTTCGGACACGTTCATAACTGTGTTATACACAAAATTTAGTTAAACATTCTTGGTTAAGGTTAAGACGGGACTTCTTACCTGATATAAACAAGAATTTAAACATCTTGGCTCAAAGTTGCCTTTATTTTAGCATTTGATTTTTGAATAAATGCTTGGTGGTATAGAATGATCAATTTTTTACCACCAAGCTTTATCCATCTTTATTTTAATAAAGGCAAGATTGAGCCAAGATGTTTAAATTCTTGTTTATATCAGGTAAGAATTCCCGTCTTAACCTTAACCAAGAATTTTTAACTAAATTTTGTGTATAACACAGTTCTGAAGGCGTCCGAAAATAATGCTGACGTCAGCACTTTTATTTTTCAAGACGCTGTAACTCAGGAGGAATTAATCAAAATTTTTGGTGAACACTAGTAATAATGGTATAGAGTTATTGTTTGTTACTTACCGTCAAAAAAAGATCCATCACTTTTGTAATAAAATATGCAGTCAGACGTCCATGTTTATAAACAGTCGCATGGCTACCATCGAAAAATGTCGTGATGTTCCGGTATATTCCGGGAAAATGTCGTGATATTCCGGCATATTCCGTGATATTCCGCCATATTCCGTGATATACCGCCATATTCCGTGACATTCCAGCATTCCGGGTTTTCACAACGCCCATTATGGGTTGCGTATTTGTTAGCGTGTGGCCCGTGTCAAAATTTTTAACAAACCTTTTAACACCCATCTGCTAAAAGCCTTGTTACCATAACACCCTATACAATATAAGTTTCAAATTATTTCATGTATCCTTTATAGTCGAGGTCCATGCAAATATATAGCAAACTGTCCAAAAAAACGACAATTATTATAAATAATTGTCTATATTTCCATTTTTCATTAATACTCTCCTCCCTACGCATGCATGTGTATGGCCGGCCTTGTCTTTATGTCTCTTAATTAAATGTCTCACATTTGCATTTGGCGTTCAGAACCTGTCATTATCTGTCACTCAAAACAATACTTTTTCTATTATCACATGCATGATTCCTGTCAAACGCAAAAGCATCTCTCGAAGCACGAAACAAGAACAAGAAAATAGCGCACACCTATCTTAGCGGAATAAAATGGTGTAAGTATATTGCTTATAGGCCTATATATTGTAGACTGACATGCATGCATACTGTATTCACTATATATTTACCCTATAGCTAGTTTAGTCAAAGAAAAAACTTATAATTTTCCGCCCGGGCTTTTGCCACGTATAAAAGGAAATTCACACGAGGCCACTAAAACTTTGCAGAATCTATAATATAGGAGGAAAACAAAATAATATGTTTGTTGTGCATGACATTGTAAATTCTTCCTTTATGTTTAATAATTGCGTTCAAATGTTGTAGTAGCTTATTATACTGCATAAAAAAATTCTCTTCTGTCCATGCACGCAAAAACTAAGAGATTTTATTATAAAAGTCGTATAGAAAGGTTTTTATTAATATCTACCATGTCTTTTAAATAAGAAATGCTTTTAAAGATCGTTTTCAATTATCAACAAGGTAAAAATTAATCATCTCAAAGAATAGCAAGCTGTTTCTGTAAGCCATACGCCGTTGAAGATTTAATACGAAACTTCTGAATCGAAGAGGGAAAAAACCCGTCTTTCTCACCTATAAGAATGAAAAACCCTATAGGTTTTCTTTCTGTTTATTTGGCTATCATTTTGCAACTTTAAGTGGGGGAATAGGATAATATAATGGAGACAGACTTTCATGTCCACAAAAGTTTTGTTAGTAGCTACTGAAATTGTAAAGCATATCTGGCGTAGCAATTTCAATGCATGCATGCATGGTATAACGGTAATTAAATTATATCCCGACGAACGGTCTTCGCTCGAAACGTTGAAGTTCTGCTTTTACTTTTTAATTGTATCCTCATATCAATCAGCAGCTTTCTTATCACCATTATATACATGCACTGGCACAGACCGTTCGAGATTATACATAGTTTGTAACTGTTAGTCGCCTAAAACATCGAAATTTTACTTTTTATACCAGACGTTAGAAATACTACCTTTAGAATATAATATATTGCGATAATCTTAATTAATAGCAGTACAGAAACAAGGTTATCAAGTTATTTAAACATTACTGAAAATTTAAAACGTTTCTTCACCCCTCAGTTTACGATTACGAACGAGATCAAATGATTCTTTTTTAGCTTTCGGCTGTTTCCTTTAATGACAGTTGTTCTGATTTGGCAACTACCATGCGGTACGGCGAGAAAGGTTATCGCGAACAGACATCATAACAAAGTTCTCGTGGGTTACAGTTATCATAACATCACATCCCTAGGCCCTAAAAAATGTCTGGAGTTTTGTCTAGCGGATTGTCGTTGCCTTTCGTTTCAAATCTGTGCTGCTTCCCAAGATTGTCAACTTTCTTCGTCGACAAAGTTGTTGGACAGATCTTCATTTCAAGATAGCAAGGACTGCGATTATACAGAATTTCACTATCAGGAAATAACAAAGGTAACCAGCACTACATGTAGCATGCATGGACTGTGATTTCAGGATGTGTCTGTTGAAAATACGCGCACATTGCCTGCATTCTCCTCCGCAGAGCGATAAAGTTAAACATAATGGCTAGGTACATGTAGTTAAACACGCGGGCTATACCGCAAATTATGAGGCACGCGGGAAAATTGGTGAATGAAAGAAATGTTTAATTTTCATTCTTCCCTTCCTATACATTTTACGGGGAAGGCTAGCTTTCGTGCTCAATTATATGGCTGTGCAGGGGAGAGTGCACATTGCCTATGAAAATATGCACACATTCATTGCATTGCTTTGTTCAGTTTTTGTTGTCCAGTCATTGTTTATTTATAAGTGTCGTTCTGTAGCATGTTTTATCTTTGGCAGTCGCGAGATGGCATTCCAAGCATATCCTGCAGTCAGGGCCGTAGCGAGGGGGTGTTGGAGGGGGGGGGGGGTAACCCCCCAATTAACATATTCAGAAAATCGGGTTGGCCATAATTCTGGCAATAATAGTATAACGAAATTTTAGTTGTTAAATAGAGAAAATAATATAGAATGGTATTGTCAGTATGAATTGATTTACGAAATCATGGCATTTACATGGATAACAATTTACAAATCGTAAATCGGTAAATGTTTTTCCGTTTACTACTTCTGTAATATGTGTATGCGTAAAATATGCGTATTTTTCAGCAAGCTAAAGACCGTGAAAACCGCTTTGCGCAATTCCATGTCAGATCATCGATTACAAAACTTAATTTTGTTAAACAGCGAAAGAGATATTACAAACAGTGTGGACCTAGACCTAGTGGTTGACAAATGGTTCATAAAGACCAACCGACGAATAAATTTGTGACATTTATCATGTCTGCAATGGCATTTCATTACGTTTTATGGAAACTTTTGTGAACATAAACAATTGCTGACGCATAATATAGCCAATGTGGAATTGTTGTGAAACTTATTACATGACTTCATTATTACAATGTAATTATCATACATTGAATTCTAAGAGCGTGTAATAAAACACGGCTTTAATATTTATAAATATTTATTGCATTTTCATTTTCCGGATAGCAAACACCTTCGTGGCTTCGTAAGCCATGAAAGATCCGGATTTTTCGTCATTTGGAAATTTTTGCCCGACACCCCCACCCCCCAACTATACATGCTACAATCTTCGACAAAACCCTTGAGACCATTCCAGCCAATATTACAAAGTTATTGAACATTGACAAAACAAATTATACTTTGTCTCCCCCTCCCCTCAAGTCAATAGAGAGTTGGTCAAATACAAGGGCAACGGCAACGGCAATATGGTCATCAACAATAGCATTAATCCTCAAAGACAAAGGCGAATGTAAATTACGCGGTCTTAAAGCCTAGTTTCCATTTGGTCGTTAGTTGTCGCTGGCACGACAAGCGGTATATGTGAAATAGTTTAATATCAATAGTCTTTTTGTGTGTTATATGCAAATCAGTCTTAATGATTGCAGAGTTTTATAAAGTTTTGTTGACACTCTATTACATCAGCCACTTGTCGTGCCAGCGACAACTAACGACCAAATGGAAACTAGGCTTAAGCGTTGTGCAATGCCGTAGTTGTTGAAACTATATTTTCACGGTGCATGACTACGGCAAGAGTTAATTCGTTCGATGTTATTTGAGGTGTTTTATTTGAATTCGAGGACTATTTTTACTTAAGGGTACGTTTCAGTGAAAAAAACAGGAGTACTTAAAGAGGCAAATTAAGTGTAGTAACGTATACTTTGACTCAAATACGATAATATAAGCAATCATATTTTCCCCGTTGCCGTTGCCGTTCTGGGTTGCCAAACTCTCTAATGTTGTGAACAACGCCGAAACAACTTTTGGTAATATACTATGACACAAGCTCAACATTGAGTTGGGGGAGCGGGGGCTTAAAGAAGGGCAACATGATTCAACATGGAGTTTATCATAAAAATATGCGAATTTTCTATAGGGGGAAAATAGTCTCAACCAGTTATGTCCAAGATTGTAGCTACGGCCCTGCCTGCAGTCTGATTGGCTGTAGCAGCGGGAGGAATATTTTACGATATTTCGACAGGCCGGGATCTGTAATCCTAAGGAAAGAAGCGAATTTCTCAACCCCACATTTACTAAAATATGCTTGGATTATATTAAGCGATAAATGCGAAATAAAATGAAATATGAACTAGGACAAAATTTTGGAAGGCTGATGACATGGCCGGACATCATATATTTTTGAATATTTACTTTAACTTGGGTGTTAGGGTTAAAGGTTGAGGAATGAACGTTAAAAATATTTCCTGTTCCAAATCAATCTCGTACCCAGAGCCATCTGGGTACGAGATTGGCGTTAAACAGCGTAAGTCCACGATTGAGGAAGATTATGTGGATCACGAAATGGAAGGTCATCATATATAGAAAGACTAAGTCATTTTTTGTCCCAATTATCGTTTAAATGGCACCTCCAAGGCTACCCCTATCGCAGAACAACCGAACAGTCTGCTGATGGGGAGACAAAATCTATTTGTTGACATTAAATACGTCAGCTTCAGATGACACCATTCATTTCACTCAGTCAGAGATTGTACTCAGTCAGAACTGCAAAACTATATAATAAGAAAGAAATTGTGACCATTATCGAAAAATGTAGTATACCTCTATATCGAACGCCAAACAGCAGATCTAAAATATATAAATGCCTTCATGTATATCACAAGAAGGAAATAAAGCCATTCTTACCTGATTTATTCAAAATATTGTCGACAATACATAACTCGCGCGAAAGACTGGATCGAGTGAACTCTGGAGAAACCATAGCGCGTCAAGAATAGTGTGCTGCCTCGCTGCGCTGGCAGCAATAATTATTAGGAATTGTTATGATATACTTATAATTGCAAACACTGCTCAGAGAGAATTTCAAATACTTTGACATTAACACTACGTTTTGTTATGTTTCCCTGTAGCACCATACTGAACAGTGCAGTAAGCGTCAGTGTATAACTGATGTAAATTGCTGTCTGACATCCATGCCATGTTACTTTGGTGGTACATGTATACCATCTGCATCACAAGGTCAGCGTTTTACATGTAAATGCAGGCTAGGTTTCAACGGAATGTTTTGTGAAAAGAAACTAAAATCATGTCGTGATTACAAGGATGGGACGCGTGTCCCTGGAAACTACACGGTTGTTGATAAAAATGGCAATCCTTATCAGGTGTTCTGTGATTTTAACAAGAATTATGGTGCAAATACTTGGACCCTCATTCAATCATACAGCTTGGAAAACAAGAACGGATTTGCAAGTCCATTTACCATGGATAATCCAAGGAATGAAGACAATTTTACGTGGATCGATTATCGACTCTCCGTCGAACGAATGACGTATATTCATGAACAATCAGTGAAATGGAGAATTACTTGCAACTATGGAACTGAAGGGTCATTATACAATGACTACGTCCGTGCTTTAATTGCAGATGTACCTCTTTTCACATTATTCACAAACCAAGGTAAATGTGTTCCGGTACAACGTATTTCAATTCGTGGCAAAACATGTATAAACTGCAAAGCTTATATGGTTCAATCATATGAACTCCCCTTACATTTTCGTGCGAAGCAATCAAACCAATGCAACTTTAAAGTTCCTCAAACACAGTCATGTCCCCCGGAATCAGAAGACAACTTTGGAAATTATAACTGCATAAATCCAAAACATAAGTGTTCGTCTTCTTCATCGGCAACAACACAAACGTGGTTGGGTGGATATTAAATACAGTTATATTTTTTTGACTGATCCTGCATCAAACGAAAGTTAACTCGACGTAATATATTACAATTTAACACGGTTTTTTTTCTTCTGAAAACACAGCATTTATTCGTTTAGCAGCATGAGACATTCCGTTTCGTGGCGGGCATGGCTGATAGCACGGGCGTGGCAAGGAACGTAAAGTTGGGAGGTCACTACGTCTTAAGGTTACTTTTTCCGTTACAAAAGGGCACATATCTCTTTGTTGTATCTGGGGAAAAGGCATTTAGAGGAAATCGTGGGAAGGGGGTCACATGGCGTTTATGTCGCTCCGGTTACTTCGCCAGTGTCTGATAGCCATAATACACGTTTTCCCGAAAGTACGCCATCTTGGCTAAAGAGCCTCGTTTTCGCAATTGAGACCTTGGGACTTTAACTATGGTCCGTACTATACGAAAATAAAGCACTATAGCCAAAGTGTCGTACTTTCTTTGCCCGCGCCAGCCTTAACACTCGTATAAAATAGGGAAGGAGGAAAGATGACGCGCAAAATTGCCTAAACTCGTATACAAATGGCCTGAAACTTAAAATATTGATTCAATAAGTTTAATATCAATATATTTGTTGAAAAATAGCTATTATGTCAAAATATATAAGAAAACTTAAGATTCTCACGAGAATAGGCAATGTTTTTATGAGCGACCGTTCATCGTTAGTTGGAAACGACGGTAATAACAAGGTCAAGGTTTTATCGAAAGCGATTGACTGTTTATTTTATAACTAAATAATGTTATTTCCTACAAATTCAGCTTTATTGTAGCTCTTTGAAGGTATAAACTATAATAGATTGAAAATAATTATTAAACTATGATTGAAATTATCGAAGTAGAATGCTACTCGTTGTATTAAATTTCAATAGTATTACTGAGAATTTTGTTTGATATTTTTAATATATTTCATGTTATTTACAAAACGTACAAATAACTGTAGTTTTGAAGTTTTGCACACAATATAATCAGTGCGAGCACAACGGCTCCGTTTCAATTTGAGTGTATATAAAAAATTGAGTATTTTGACAGCGTGACCTTTCACGATATACAGGGTGTCCCCTATCATATTTTGTGGTACTACATCGTTACCTGTAATCGAATGTTCAAATTTTTTCATTTTTCTAATCAATGAACACATCGCCTTCTAGAGTTACTTAAGGTGGCGACACCAATATTGCCACTTGTCCAAATTGAGGATATTAGGGTTAAACATATTACGGAACGTCATAAAATATTTTAATGGTAAATGGCTACATATCTTTTCTAAAACTTGAAATTAGTTGTAGCCAAAATCGCAAATTAATTTTCTGTAAAAATAATGAAGCAATCTACAGAAAAGGGGAAAGACTAGTGCCGAAATCCCAACATTTGCTCTTTCATGGAACAAATTGAACGGAAAACAGCAAATTTAGGCATTTTCCCAACCTTAGCTTTGCCTTTGTCAGTTTGCCAGGGATTTTTCATCTTTTTTTATTAATTTCTACAAGAAACAAAAGTTTAATAATAGAGATAAAAAACATTTTGTTTTTGAGCAAAAAGGTGGGTAGAAACTTTAGAAATCCTTCTGCAAAGTTTGCATTATTTTTAACCTAATTTCTGTAATTTGGACGGGTTGCAAAATTGGTGTCGCCACCTTAAGTATCTCTAGAAGCCGAACGGTTAAATATTTTGTTGAGATAAATACTACGATTAATATAATATGATTGTTTTTCAACCCACTGCAAAAAATTTGAACCTTTGATTAAATATAGCGAAGTAATACCACCAAATATGACAGGGGGCATTTTTTTTTGGGACACCCTGTATAAATATTAAACACCTGGGGCCGGTTGTTCAAAGCCCAATTAGCGCTAACCCTGAGTTTAAGCTAATCCAGCTTTGAACAATCGGCCCCTGATCAATATTGCGAGCACAACTGTTCAAAAATCACAACAAATATCAGGACATAAGGTAAATTAAAAACAGGAAAGCTTTACCTACCTCGATCTATTTTTCTAAGGCGCTCAATTATGTAAATTTTCGGCGAACAATCAATATATTTAATTTCTTTGCGTTTCCTCGACGAAAGCTGTGGACGAATTGACGAAAACGTGCATGAGTCATTCACATTGTGATTCACATCACATGAAAATGCTCGTCGGAAAAACTCGGTATTTGTCGCATTTACGAATCTGCCACGTTATTTACCAACCACCGGTACGCTCACCGCTCACCGCTCACGACGACACGAAATTTAGAGCTATATATGAAAGTTGCTTGCCACACATAGCATGCAACAAAAATAGAAGCGGCAAGGAGCGAAATAATATTTGCCTTTGTGAAAATGTAAGCGAAATAATGAATGTGACAAACTAAAAACTAGAAATAATTACAGTCTACATGTGCAAGAAGTAGTATTATGCAAGAAAATGAACCAAAGGTGACTGTCGATGAATTTATTGTATAAAAAACTTCTTTAACTGAACCATACGAAGATATTTTCGTAGGTTCATACGATCCACATTTTTGTCAATAACGTTTTTGCGTAACATGTATCATTTTTGCGTTGACTATATTTAAGAGTAATGATTTACTCTACAATTTAAGCTTTTGCAAATGCTTAACTATTTGATAATTTTCTTAACTTTTGCGTCTTTTAAAGTTCGGTATTCAACAATTTTTCAAGAAATGCTCACACGCCTCCCGGTCTAAAACGATAATTACTCGAGCTCAGCTCGAGTTATAGTTTCGGTCGGGGGTTTTTTCGCGCAAGAAAAACTCTTAATTCTGACCAATCGAAACAAATCGTGGACGCATGTGATTATTGGTAAATACTATTTCGCTGACCTCAGAATGACATTTCGTCAAAAATTTTTTCTTCAAGATTGGTTTAGAAACAAATTTTGAGTAGGGTTAGGTTAGGGTTAGGGTTAGGGTAAGGATTAAGGTTAGGGTTAGTGTTTGGAATAATAGGGTTAATATAGTGTTAGTAAGACCGTTGCTTTATAATACGTTTTGTCACTTTGAGGCCAGCGAAATAATCTCTTCCGTGATTATTTGTGTTGGCGTTCAATGGCTCATTCGACTTCCTGCTCTTCGTGCTGGCGTTCATTGCTCATTCGACTTCCTGTTCTCGTGCCAGAAACGTTGTTTACTCTACCATACACAGGGAGTCCAACTAAGAGCTGTGTTATGAATATGAATAAAACATATTAATTAAACGTAATATGAATAAAACATCATAACGTAATAAATTTAAATTATTGCACTTACTTGTATAAATCATAAGAGCTTGCATTTACCGAACAGGGCGCTTATATATGCTCAGAAACATTGATCAATAGAACGATTGTTCAAATATGGCGAATAAATTGACAAAACGAAAATATTACATGACGTTCCAATGAAAATAACAGAAAGGATTGCGGGCGCGAGCAGAAGGCGAGGGTAATAGATATTAATAGAAGGGGTGAAACACCGGTAATGCGATCGTGTTATGTGTTCCATAAGTAGCCTGGTCTCTCGGAAAATTCCAAAACGCCTCCTGCCAACTCCAACAACACGCGCTTAATTAATGAAAATAAACAATGTTTAGCTGTACTGGCTAATATATATGACATATTTAAATGTAGCGACCAACGTTTTTTTTTAACATTATTTAGTTTTATTATTATTTAGTCATACGTCACAAGACCAGGCTACTTATGGACACATCTCGCGAAAATGGCCAAGAATGCTCGCTGTTATAAATCACATAAATTAGATTGATCAGTGCTTTTTTTGGTAATTATAATGACTAGGCTTGTTCATGTAAGAGAACATCTACTGAGCCCTAAAAATACCACAAAAAGCTTAAACGGATAGTCTAGAAGCATTTTAAAAAGCCACGTGATATTTGTTTCATCCCTTTTATTTATTTCTTCCCTCGCCTTTTCGCTCGCGCGCCAGCAATCCTTTCTGTTATTTTCGTTGGAACGTCATGTAATATTTTCGTTTTGTCAATTTATTCGCCGTATTTGAACAATCGTTCTATAAATCATTGTTTCTGAGCATATATAAGCGCCCTGTTTGAAGCTATTCGTTGTAAATGCAAGCTCTTATGATTTATACAAGTAAGTGCAATAATTTAAATTTATTACGTTATGATGTTTTATTCATATTCATAACACAGCTCTTAGTTGGACCCCCTGTGTATCATATGGCTCTGAGGACTGTACTCAGCACTCGTGTAATAATAATGCATTTTAATATGCGTACTCGATCAAGTATTTGTGAATGTATGCTCTTTACGTGTACTCGATCAAAAGTAAACGGCTGTACGCTTTCTATAAGCGTGCTCCATCAAAAGTAAACGACTGTACGCTTATTTTGTATGTTCGCTCTAGTTATATATTCGAAATATCCATCCATGGATTGTCTATGATCTAAACAGTATCAAACTTAATTGCATCGGAATTGCGGTGCCCGTGCCATTTTTGGCACCGCATTATATTCTGCCTGTGAGTTTGTCCGTTTGTTTGTCCGTTGAGGGTCCTGAAGGGGTAAAATGGGAACTGGGATTGATCTATTTTTAGACTGGGAAAATGGGATTTGGGTTGCTGTAGCCTGCGTGCAGGCCCAAGGGAACTGATAGTGGGCCTGCAACCATCACCCCATGTTTTCGATTTTCGCCGGCCGAACCGCCGGCTAAATTCCCATTGGCTAGCTGAGGCGATCGGTAATTAATTAACCTAGCCTGCGTGCAAGCCCCAGGGAACAGTGATTCATCACTAAGGCATAGACAAAGGCTCTCGATAAGCTTAAAATTTGAAAATTGATCACTTTTTTCGATTACAAATGGAACAAGAACAGACTGTTTATTGTTTATGCCAATGGGGATTGCTTGTCGTGAGGTGTTGGAATAGCAAATTACGACTGGGGTAAACTATAGCAACCTTTACTTGAGTTTCATTAATTTCAAACAGACTTCAGTTGATACGTTATGTGTTCTCACTTCCTCAAGAAAATTATCTTTTGGGGTTGATGTTGAGATGCAGTTGCATGTAAGGACTGTAAGCCTATTCGAAACACTTTGCGATTTACAAGGCTTCGCTGAGAGAGCGAAACAGAAGGCGGTATTAAATTGCCGTTTGAAACGAAACGATCTGGACTCGGAACGCTCTCTTCTTTTGTAGAGTTCTTTAGCAAATGAAATAAATTTCGTACTTTCCGCCGCCAACAAGAATTGCACACACGATCAGATAAGTGAGACAATTTATTTATAACAATGCCAATGGCGACAGCGATAATTGCTGCCGAGCGTAGCTCGGCAGCACACTAATCTCTACACGTGGTGTGCTTACCACGTGACCGCCGAGTTTATAGCCGCTACAATCTCGATTTATGTCATTCTGTCATCCACGGACGGGCCAAAACTAGCTGTTTTGATATTATTTTTTTGTTCCCGGGGGGGTTTGTTCACAACATGGCGACTGTTATAAACGGACAGAAATATAAAATCATAAAATAATGCGAATTTCCATAAAAATTCCGAGTAATATTTGTGAAGATGAATGGGTAAATAAAGCACGGTGTTATTTTGTGTCTCTGGCGCAAGAATGATCGACAATATTTTGAATAATTCAGGTAAGGATGGCTTTATTTCGTTCTCGTATAGTGATGTAGTCGTGCCGTGTGCCCTGTCTACCTGTCTGGTGATATATTTTATAATACATGAAGGCATTTATATTTAAATCTGCTGTTTATACTTGTTTAGTCACTTTAGTGTATTAAACTTCGATATAGAGGCATTGAAACAAAATGATTTCAAGAATATATCGGCAATTATAATACCCACTGAATCACTGATCTATTCCCGACCAAATCGACAGTAATGATTAATGCCTTTATGCTGATACAAGAAGCAAATGAACTTTTAGTTTATTTGTTTGTTATGTCACTTAATATGTGCAAAGCCAAAGGCGGTGAGTATATAATAGTGTTCGGTACGTTCTATTTCTAAATGTTTATAGTTTAAAAACAAACGCGGGATGTTGTTAAATCAGGCTTAACAAGATTCCTAGAGCTACCCAGTGTGGATTGTTGTCTGCATATATGGACTTATCAGCAATTACATGTAATATAGCATATCAACTGACTTTTGTATAAGATATGACTTGTATAAGACTGCATCAGTTATATATAAAGCCTATAAACATGATTCTACTGACATAGACGACATACATTGATATATACATATGGCTGTGTTACCACAATAATGCTCACAACTTCAACTTCTTTCTAACAATATAGTTTTGCAGTTCTGACTGTTCTGAGTCTGATCTTATTCATTCAGAAATATAAGCATTGCACTGTATTCAATGGCAAGCTATCCTGGATTCCAGAGCCTTCAGTTAATAATAAATTGAAATATTGTGAAGGCTCTGGTTCAACGGGAGGATTCTTTGATTAAACTGTGCCAATCACAAAACAGAATTAGCAGTTTTAGTACAGATTTTGGGCGTGTTAACCCATTAAGCGCCAGCGCTCTCCCCTTGACGAGTAAAATCGTCTGGCGTTAGACAGAGTAAAATACTCTGGTGTTAGACAGAGTAAAATACTAAAGTAGGGTGCATCAGGGTGCAATGCGACCCAATGGGTTAACTAGACACATGGGCAGATAGATCAGTTAACCCATTAAGCGCCAGCACTCTCCCCTTGACGAGTAAAATCGTCTGACGTTAGACAGAGTAAAATACTGTTCAAAGTAGGGTGCATCAGGGTGCAATGCGATTCAGTGGGTTAATATAGTACATAACATAGGTCATAGACATACAGTTTCAATACAATACAAAATGATTTTGAACAACATCAAGGTCAATGAAATCATACAAAATGAATTTATGGAATATCAATTAAATGTATTTAAAACAAACATAATTTAAACATCCCAATAAGCAGTAACATCCCAGTAAGTATAAATTCAACTATTTTAAAGTCTAAGAAGGTCCATGTCCTTTCAATTATAGTTAAAATAAAAGTTAAGTTAGTTTGAATATTAATCTAAACTAATCAATATAAACATCCAGCATATATAAATTCAACAAAGCACAGTTAAGAATTGAAGGTCCAATTAGTTTAAATATCAATAATATCCACATTAATCAGTTTGTTGGTTTGTATATCATATGATATAAATAGAGGATCTAAGTTTAACATGCACTGAGTGAACTCCTCGTGTGTTGCTGTTGGAGCAAGATTACCGATCCTAAGTAACTTATTTGCAGTATCATTAAAAGCTGTTAAACGCAGCCTTTGTTGACTGTTACCATTTACTTCTATATATAATCTAAGGTACCACTGCACTTTGCATGATCTAGCTTTTTGTACCATTTTGCAGCTTTCACAAGTTGCCAAGTTGCCATTGATAAAAACCTTTTTATTACAGGAACAACAACACTGTGTTTTTGATATGTTTGTCACCCCAAGGATTTCGCCGGTCCCTTCCAAAACAGGAGAAACAGTCGTCTCCACAGAAGGCAAGGCTTCAGTGAAAGATTCATCTGGAGAGATGACACACTCGCTCTCATTTTTGGGCGTATTAACATATCTCTCATTTTTGGTTATCTTTACTCGAACTCTGTTGAATGAGAAAACTTTCCCTTCCTCAAGTGTGTCGGCATGTTTTCCATAAAGCACCAGCTTTATAAACCCAGAAGGGTCAACAATGAAACATTGTTGTTTTTTTACTGGGACTTCGTCAAACACAACAGTTTTTGTACTTGACAGCTGCTGCACTTCCCCTTTCACACGCACAAGTTGTTCACCTGCCACGTGTGATATGGTGGAGATCGATATGTTTTTATCCAATTCCTGATAATCGTAATGAACAACAGTTGGGATTAGATTCGTTTTCCTGGTGATAACGACATCTTCTCGGCCATACTTTTTACTAATAGTGTAATTCCTGATCTTCACTGGTGACTTTTGATTAGCCAAAGATTCCAAGCTTTGCTTTTTGCCGACTTCAAAGCACACAGCTCTTACTACTTGTGTCTCAGTCTGAAGATCGCAATTAATATACGAAGACCCATTTGATTTCTTGACAGGTGATACCGCGTGTATATAACAAGAGATCTCGGGCAGCCCTAGAAAAAGTTTAAATTAATTAATATTTCTAAATTATCTACGTCTTAACTCTTAAGTGATTGTTGTGCGCTTTACCTACTAACACAATTGCGCGGAGACAATTAAGTTGCAAGACAAATTGCATGCATGGTGTAGGTATAATAATTAAGAAGAAACATTTTTTTAGTTTTTCCTAAAGTCTGCAGTCTCGTTTAATACGCGTTATGTAGTTACAGTAAATAACCAAATGAATAAACGTGCAAAATTTAATATTGTTCCATAAGTTTTAGTTTGCATTGGCTAATAAACTTATTTGTTAGGTTTTAAACTTCTCCGTGTGTGCATATAAACTCGTATTATAAAAGTACGAAAAATCCTATAATTATTTTAGAACTTTACCTTCGCTTCTTTCAGCCATTTCTTTCCTTTATTCCTTTAATGTAATTTGTAATATGAACGAGAACTATAAAAAAAATTGTGAATTATAAGTTCCAACTATACAGTCTAGTATTTCGCAATTTCAAAATATGTATCAATTTGCTTACCTTGCTGTATCAACTATCAAGACAATAGAACAAAAGAACAATTAGGGAACGAAATAATATATAAATAGCAACTTGGCAGTAAAACCGGTATAACCGGTTCTATTGTCTTATATGCTATTGTTATATAGTTAGTGTCAAGTTCAATTTTTCTGTTCGCCGATTGGTCAAAACCGTGTCACGTGCCGGTCCACAAAACGTCATGCTCGGCAACCGGTCCGCAATCAAACATTTATTGACCGGTCAATAATAAAATGGGTGCAATACGTATGCGTGTCAACCGCGAAGTTCCAAAGTTCATTTTTTAAACTTTTACTAAACATTTACGGCGTTCCATTTATCCAGTTTTGGTTTCAAATTAAGTCCATTCCAATAACCAAAACACTTATTTACTGAGACATTGGGAAAGCAGTATGTTTTGTCGCCCCTCGATCGCCGTTGTTGCCCTCGGCTTCGCCTCGGGCAGCAAGGGCGGTCTCTGGTCCATAAAACATACTGTTTCCCTCGATCTCAGTAAATAAGTGATAATTATTATCGAGTCGTCATAAATGTCGTCATATAACTAAGGATAATTGTGCATAAGTACAGTGAGAGGCTCCAATTTTCCATTTCTCCAAAGCCTGCCTGTTCGCGGGTTATGTAGTGCATAACCCGCGAACAGGCATACTCTGCGAACGATTGATTTCTCATTTCTCACGAAACGGCGCAGATTTACAGTTACAATAATAGCAATATTGGATTTATTTGTATAAAGGGTAAGTAAGCATGTCGTTATTTATTTCAGCTAATATTAATCAGGGCAACGAAATTTTCAGCCCACAATCTAGAGGGAAGCAGTGTGCTTTTATAAGTATATCGGCGCTTTTAACAGCCCGGCACACGCCATTAATAAATTGGACAAGTACAACATTTGATAATGTTTTAATTCTTGGAGATAGAATGTATATGGAATGTCTAAATGGTGGTCTTATTTTGGCAAACGCGAGAGAAAGGTTTTTGTCTATTGATGAGTTACCCAAGTTTGTCAACATTTCCTATACAAACAATACATTTGCTTGTGAAATATGCTTGCCCCAACATGGGCAAGAAACTATACCCCATATGCCTCGTGTTTATACGCGAAAAACACATGAAAAACAAGTGCAGCCCATTCACGCAACCGAACCAAATGAAGTACCCATTGTGGTACAGCCTATTGAGGCAACTGAACCAAACGAAGTACCCTTTGTGGCACAGCCTATTGAGGCAAATGAAGTACCTATTGTGGTACAGCCTATTGAGGCAACTGAACCAAACGAAGTACCCTTTGTGGTACAGCCTATTGAGGCAACTGAACCAAATGAAGTACCTATTGTGGTACAGCCTATTGAGGCAACTGAACCAAACGAAGTACCTATTGTGGTACAGCCTATTTATATGGATGGAAATAGAAATGATTCACCCATTGAAGTACATGATTATGAAGGTAATGTTGGCCAATTTCATGACGTAACAATTGAAAATCAAATTTGTTATTTACATTTTGAACAAGAACGTCAAGGTCTTGTTATATCGAATCAAGATATTGATTCACACTACCATGATATTCACTCGGCTCTACTAGCTACTTTTTCTAGCAATATTGAGTATGCCATCCTTATTTTAAAAGGTTATATGATGGCTTTAATTAAACAAAATGACTGTTTCTATCTCTGCGACTCACATGCCAGAGACTATATGGGCATGCCTTGTGAAAATGGCACTGCAGTTGTTATGAAGTTTGATGATATCTCTTGTCTAGAACAACACCTATATTCTTTGTCAGTAGAACTACATTCCAATTTATTTGAACTTGTCCCTGTTCAATTAATTGATGTTGAGTCTGAAAATGAGAGACCTCAAAGAAACAGAAAAAGAAAGCTTGTGTTGGAAAGTGATTGCAAAACAAACAAAGAAGACCTGACAAAATTAAAAAACTATGAGTCAAAAAGAAAAATGTTATTCAGAGAAAAAGACTGTGACAAGCAAAAAAGACTTGCCAAAGCTAATAATTATAAGAGAGAAAAAAAATTAGTTGAAACTGATAGCCAGAGGCAATCAAGACTTGAGAGAAATCGTCTGTCTCAGAGACGTTCAAGACTGAGACAATCACTTGTTCAGAATGAAATGAGTCAGCAAGATTATTTGACACAATTCAACAATACTCAATATGGTGGTATTGAAAATCAATCGTGGGCTAAGACCAATATCAATAAATTTTACAAGTCAATGCAGTACAATGTCTGTCACTGTACAGTATGTCATGAAGCATGGCCAATAAAATCCACACCAGACCCACCTTACGTTTGTTCAAGGTGTTTTAGAGATAAGAAAAATCCAAAAAAAATGTCAGTTGAAAACTCGATGATACCATCATCTGTACCAGAGCAACTAAAAAATTTGACTCAAATTGAGGAAATGTTGATTGCTCGTGCTTTACCAATAATGAGAGTATATATTAAACCTGGTGGTCAACGAGGTTTTTCAGGGCATTGTATTAACCTGCCTCAAAATGTCAGAGAACTTGCAACATCTTTACCCAGATATCCCAAAGATCTGACTGTAATTATAGTCAAAATGAAAGGTAGAGAAAACACATTTAGAGATGTGATTGTGCGAAAGCAGAAAGTAAACAGTGCTTTACTCTGGTTAATTAATAATAATCCCCATTATTCTGACTTGACAATAAATGAAGATGCA